TGGTGATGATTTCGACGTTAGTTACAATAACGATGGTAATGATTATGATCGTGATAAGGAAGTCAAGAGGATGATGTTGAGCAGTGAGGTTAATGATGGTGACCCCATCATCATCATCACCACAGTGATCATCATTGTCGTTTCCGTCATCATTGCTATCACTCTAATAACATCATCATCATCGTTTACCTCACCTGGTCAGCATCGTCCTCTTAACTTCATCATCACCATCATCACTATCATCACCGCCATCATCATCATCATAATCACCATCAACATTGTCATCATTAACGTTGTCAGAATTAATGTGAATGTCTAAGTAATCAGTTTTGTTCACTGTCCTCATCATCATCATCACAATTACGATCATTACTTTCTAGAAATCACTTTTAGTTGCCATTCGTCTTAGTATTATGACTACTACTACTACTACTAATAATAATAATAATAATAACAATAATAATATTTTTTATTATTATTATTTTTATTACCTTTGTCATCATTATCATCAGAGCACCGTAAAAAGATGATATAAAAACACGTGTAATAAGATGATGACGATGATGACGATGATGACGATGACGTAATAAAGTGTAATAATAAATAAATAAAAATAATAATAAATTGGTTATGATAACGATTGTAAAGAGGGGGAGAGAGAGAGGGAAAGAAAGAAAGAGAGAGAGATCGTAATTTATTAATAGAAGATAAAACCGCGGCATAAAAAAAAAGAAATTTGACAAGCAGGCGTCTTGAAACCAGTTGTGCTGTTGTTGCATCTATGCTTCATATTGTTGTTTGTTTGTTCGTTCGTGTGTATTTTTGGTTCGTTTGTTCGTTCGTTTGGTTGTTTGTTCGCTGTTTGTTTGCTTGTTGTTGTTTGTTTTTGCTGCAACTATAGCAATAATATGATTACAATAATAAAACAATATTAATAATAAAAATAATGAGGAGAATAAAAATAATAATATGAATTAATTTACGTATTTGGGATGTCGTTATGATGATTCAAAAACAAAATGTTATTAGTAATATAAAGATATCATATTTCAGCTAGTAATGTGCTACATTGTATTTGGATATGATATGATAAGATATGATATATATATATATATATATATATATATATATATATATATATATATATGTATATATATATATATATATATATCTGTATTTATATTGTATGATATATGAAATGATGTGATACCATATGATATGATATCATATAATGTGATACAGTTCTGTTTTTAAATGTTCGCTCGTACAATATCCGATGCTAACAAACAGCAATAAAAACGTCTATACAACTACTGCTGTTATTATTATTATTATTATTATTATTTTATTATTATTATTATTGTTGTTGTTTTTTTATTGTCGTTGTTATTATGGATTAACGTTAGTATTACTTGTTTTTATATTGCTCCAGCTTAATATTTATTATTATTATTATTATTATTATTATTATTATTGTGGAGAATAATTCCTTTCTTATGACGCAATTTACTGTAAAGATGTTAGCGCTGCTGCTGCTGCTGTTGATGATGATGATCATGTCCACGAAGACGACGACGACGACGATGATGATGACCATGATGATACTCAAGTGATAACGACAACACTGGAAAGGATGATGACGCGATGTCAATGGAAATAATGGTGATGAACTAGCGAAATGAACCCACTGCTTGAAAGCAACTTTTTTTTCCAATGATTTATCATAACAATTTCAGACCGCGAGTCCTTGCGCGAGGTTTTGTTTTGGCGTGATTTACCGTTATTTTCAGGTCAGGCCAAATAAGTTTATGTCGTTTTGTTATTTATAATTCAAATGTGGAAAATATGATGCAAACTAAAATGTGTGGCTGTAGATCTAAAATATCAAGTTTCTTGTTAATTCATGTAAAAAATTATTTTTGAACGTTCTAGTCTCTCAAATGATGAAATGTTGCAAATTTGTATCAAAAAAACTGATACTATATATTTGCAAATTTATAATAAAATTAGGATTGGGCAAAAAAGTCATCAATTTTTTAAAAAACCTCAAAGTCTTTCTCTTTAAAAATCCCCGGCTAAGCCACTCTGCCGAAGTCAATAAAAACTCCTTAAGCATTTGATTGATAAAAAGACTGACCCTACATCTGGATTGAAAAAACTCATCGCTATATAAAAATGCGAAATTAATGAAAGGGTATTGATATTTAAAATTCTAAATTTTATTGACCGTTTGCACGTCTGGGTATTGTTACTGGATGTTATGCTAAGGACGTCGATAAATATTGATTTCATTTTTTTTTACAAGCAATGAAATGGATGCGTTCGTTTCGAAGTATGGACGATGTTGTCCGCGCTGGTGCCTGCATACTGCACAGCACACTCGTTCGTCTGTTCTGAAATCTTCTGTTCAACAGTTGGAATGAAATGAAATTGGAAAAAATGAAGTTGAACGAGTTAGATGTGTGTCGGTGGTTATCGCTCACGCGTGTTCTCAATTCATCTTTCCCACCCTACAATACACTGCAACTTGCAAAACATACAAGTTATAATTTACCGTAAGAAAATTGGTGCTCTTCAATATGCACGATGTCATTTAGTTGGAGAATTAACAATAAAAAATAATTTCTGAATGTGGATGAATTCAGTCGATGATGGCAAAGGCTTCTTTTAAGGCGTGATAATAATTTAATGTTCATAATTTATTAAGATCAAATCTGTAAATAGAAAATCAAGGTGAGATTTCAGAGCCAGATGTTATCAGAACATGACCGATCTTATACATTATTAATCTATCTAGCCTTCCACATCTGGGAGCCAGCCGCCCAAACAACGAAATGATAACATTTCCACAAGAACCACAATCAGAGAAACACTGAAACACTCACTCTTACCAATTGCGTTTTTTGTTGATTGCCAAACAATTTGTTCGTATTCGCAGAATGCGCGAGTGTATATATATATATGTGTGTGTGTGTGATGTGTGTGTGTGAAAGAGAGAGTGTGTATGTGAGAGAGAAAATGTGAGAGAGAGAAAGTGAGAAAGAGAAAGAGAGAGTTAGTATTTAAATAAAAACAAAACACAAAAATATAACTTCGCAGTTTAGCGAATGAAATTAGAAACAAGTTCGATGCAGTGACACTCTGGAACAGAACTAGAAGCTCATCAAATTTGAACAGACGCACAAACAAACAGCTACACGAATGATGTTTTCTTAATCGAAGACTCACATTCCGAAGCAAGATAACAACACGTTGCTAGCAATAAAATTTCAATAATTAGAAATCTTTCGCACCAATCGACTTGAGCGTCTTATGGAAAGTCAATAACATTTATTATATAATGGTTAAGAACTTATTGCTATGGTGACGAAACAAGTGGAGTCTATTTATATCGCTTATCAAGGGAATTTTTATTACAATTTTTGTTTTGTAAAGATTTTTAAACATTTCTGACATTGCTACATTTTTTAAAATTAACGATCCATTGGAATTAATTAGGAATGCTTAAACATGCCTAAAAACTGTGTGCACGTGCAACAAAAGAATTACGCACTAGAAATGCAACTTTATACATACAAACATGTGTACATTCAACACTTATAGATGAAAACGTTCAGTAGATACAGGCCAGACACACACACACATGTAAAAGTATGCAAGAGAAAACGCACATACATACATACATACACAAACAGTCACAGATACAAATCAATTATTCATCATTAACTCTCTAGAGTAGAACAATTAGCGGACTCAAGTTTAAATCTGGTGTTCAACCTTCCATTAACTTTCATACATTCCACAAATAATTTGAATTTTTCGCTAATCATGGAATCAGCAAAACAACGATTACAGCTGACAACTACAACTTTAACACAACGCCAAACAGTCCAATAAGCAAAACACAACAAACAGCACACACATTATGCAACACACAGCAAACAACACATAACATAACACGTTTTCCTCCCAATTATGTTCTAAAAATCTGCCAATCAGTGAATTTGTCTTGCATCTAGCGACAGCAGTTTAGAATTTACACGTTCGACATCATACGAACACATAACAAATAATTTTTTCTTTGATCGGTGGGAAATTTTTCAAGATGAATTTCATACAGATGGAGTGGATCTCAGCAGGCAGACCACATGCTCCTAAATAATGTCACATCAATGGAAATTAACTGTCCAAATGTTCCACACAAATGGATATTTTATGTCAGACAGGCCTGCATAGCATTTTTATTGTTTTATTGCATTGTGAAAATCAACGCAGGAACGCACTTTCATCCTTGGGGTAGATACTCCAAATGAATAAACCAAAACAAATGAAATAAAATGAATTGTAAACTATAAAATTAAAACAAAAACCTCAGTGAAGAGAAACTTGCCACACGAAATCAAACGCATTAAACGGAAGTATTAAAATAAACATGCAACAACAAACATCGATGATGCAGACTTGCACAACATTTCAGTACAGGCATAATTATTGTGGGAGTGAAATCAATTTTTTTCTCTATGTAGATTTTATCGTTGTACGTTGAATTTAATGTTAAATTGTTAATGATTTTCATTCTCATCTACTCTTTGGGTCGTTATTATTTTTATATTCTATGTTAAAACATTTGAAAGAGGCAAAGAATAAATTCAGTCCAGTGGCTACAAGGAGTTACAAAATTTACGACAATGTTGGAAAAATAATAAGATTGATGCTTCATTTGGGTTAATGTTATATATCCCAAAATATTCTGCAAAAAAAAATTTATTTTTGCAGTACCATTTATTTTCGCATAAGGTTAGAAAACGAGTTATGATTTGATTTTATTAAAAATTTCCTCGTTAATTTCTTAATTAAATTTTGAAACACGAAACATTTCAGTATGTGGGGTGAATAATTAGATTTTTAAAATTTTCTTGATACATATATCTCAATGCTTTTCAGTTTAACCTACATTATCAAGCAAATAACACAAGCAGGTTTATTAATTTTAAGTTAATTTATTTCAACTTGTGTGAAAACGCTATAGAAATAAGAAGTAGGGAGTTTTCTTACATAATGAATACAAGTTTCAATTCGAAAGCATTTGACCTCATTTCGCGACGAATAATGAAATTGCTGTTGTTAACTTGTTTTGTACCTACATACTTACACACAGGCAGACAGACACACAACACACACACACACACATACTCATAAATATGCACACACAAACATACACACGTTCGCATTTACCCTCAAAGAGTAGAAAGAATACAGTAACGTACTGAGAAACTGAAAACTAAATTAAAATCCAACACATGTTTGCAATAAAACGACATAAAAGAATGTAAATTAATAAACCAGACAATCCAGCAACAAGAGAGCCAATTAATCAACCACCCAATCATTCATATGAACAAATCTTGTAATAATCTTTAAACAGCAATGAAACAATCAAGTTAACAAACAAGCCAACAAACAAACAAACGACAAACCTACAAAAAAATGAACAAGCAAACATACAAACCTTGGCAGATGCCCATTTCATTTCCGACCAAAGACTGGCCGACTTCAGCGAAGATCTTGCAGACGAGGTGGCCATCACACTTGCCGTAGATGGACGACAGGCCTGCTCCACAACTTTCGTTTACCTGCTTGGCACATTCGTCGCAGCAGTCGCAGGCGTCAATGACGTAGCCACCTGGACAGGAAGTGAGAGTTGGACACGAGGATTTGTCGCATTCCGGGCAAGAGTGGCCCGCGATCGATCCGGCCAATATTAGAAGCAACGTTGTTGTCGTTATCAAAATGTGCAGTTGCATTTTTGGCGTTTATTTGATGTATGTTATGATGTAGTAGTTGTTGTTATAACGTGGTTGTTGTTGTGATGTGGTTGTTGTTATGCAGGGTTTGATGTTTTTTATTAATGAAGAATCAATGTCGGAGCTAAAGGTAAAGCTAAAAAAATTTTAAATAAAAATACTAAATGAATTAAATGAACAAGCTGAAATGTGTATGTTATACGTGTAAATAAATAAATACATCTATTCTATGTTATATATACTGATTTATTTGTTTGTGTGTTTTAATGATTTATGTTTTATTTCAATTTAACTCATTTACTTAATCATTTATTCATTCAGTCATTCATTTATTCATCTATTTACTTATAAACTAAATAAACTGAGTTGAATAAAACAGTTCAATAAGTTGAAGAGTTCATTTGAAGTGACACTGGATCAAACCTTCTCAGCACAGCAAACTCGAGCAGACTGCCTTGTTAGGCCATCAAAAAAACAATATGTTTATGATAAAAAATAAAATTTCAAATCTTAATAACTTAATGAAATAAAATTAATATAGTATAAATAAGATAACAAAAGAAGATAATTTTTACAAAGTTGTTAATAAAATTATTTAAAATAATTTTTTAATCTTTAAATAAACTCTCAAAAATCAGAACAGTAACTGTACAAACTTATTGCAACAAAACGATATTTAACAAAACGGAAACTGAAATAAATAGGCACGAAACGATCCAACAGAACAAACAACTTCCCCAACCAATGAAGTTTTATAGCATTTGCAACATGCTAACAATCTATTGCATGCAATGATATAAGCATAAAAATACATACATGTTTCTTCATTATAATGTGAAAAACATAACGTACATACACACATACGCACACACAAACAAGTATACATATTCACAGACGTGTAAAACGAATTTGTGTTTGTTCGCGTGTGTGACTGTTTTTGTGTTTGTGTAGATATGTCGAGAAGAAATGTTTGAATGGTAAATATTTTCCAACAAATGAACACACAAGAAACAAGACATCATGTCATGTCATGCTGCTTTCTTTCCTATAAAACAAACAATCGGCATGAATACATGCAAACAGACACTCAAAAACTTATCAGTAATTTATATATTCGTACACACACACACACACGTACGCATACATACACATATAGATAAATATATATATAGACTTACATACACAAATATGCCAGCACACATATCTATCAAAACACATGCACATACATACCAACACATATATACATACACTAATACAAATATACATTTACACACAAATACATAGGCAAACATGCACATACCCAACTTACTCATTCACACTGGTCGTATTACAGCGAGCTCTCATAAAATTGATTAAGTTGCGTACAAACACAACAAGCACACACACACACATATTATATGTGTGTGTGTGTGTGTTCGTGCGAGCGTTTGCTTGTGCGTGCGTTTGGGTGTGTGTACGTGCGAGAGAACAACTGTTTTAAAGTAGATGAAAATAAATAATGAAGTTGTAATATAGGCTGCAGATGTTCCCTGTGTTGTTATTCATCAGCATCGTACGAACGCGGTCGTATGCGTTTGAATGAAAATTTAATTGACAAAATAATGAAAAAGTTGATTTTTATTCACGCTCCTCCTTCGCTCCAGCTCGCAATAGATTTGCAAAAGTTGTTGATCCGATCGTTTTTTACTACCCATTT